GAGCGCCAAGTCACCTCGGATTAAAACCTCATCGGGAAAACACTGGTTGCTTTTGTACCGCATCAGAGCATGCGATGGCTAAATGCAAAATATTGCTGTTACCAAGGTGCACGTGCTCCGGAGCGGGGATCCGGCAGCACTAGGTGCCCTCGGGGCGATTCGGGAGCTGTGGCAGCGTGGGGGGAGAGGGGAAGCAAATCCAGCGCTGCGAGGGGGCTGCGAGCTCTGCAGGATGCACCAGGGGAGGTAAACGTGAATTATTAAGTGTAATGTGAAGCTGGGAAAGCATGAAGTGTCTTTGTGTAAGAGATCCCTTTTCACGTTACAGTGCTAGTACCATTGCCTCTATTTTACTTGTTTTCTTACATTGGAGTTTTTCTGCTGAAGAAGATTTTAATGCAGTTTGGCATTTTTAACATGCAGCAAATTCAAGAATGCAACACAGTTAGGAATGTAGCTGCTTACATTTTAAATAATCTAAATGTAATGACTGCAGAACAGGATGGATCAACCTTAAATAAGGCTTTTTAAAGCTATTAAACCAAAATGTTTTCAATATGTGGCCTCTTTTCTCTATATAAACTAATACCCTTGATTAAATTACTATTTCTGCTATCAAATGTTTGCACCTATTTGTTTTCACAAGGTTACAGTTCAGTGCATCTTTTAAGACAATGCTGTTATATGAGAAACCATTGACTGCTGTGGTAAAGAATAGTCAAACTTACTAAAATGTTGTTTGTTTGTTTGTTTTTCCTATTGCAAGTTGCTTGATAGTGACCAGGAATTGTATAAGAACTTCCCTCTGGTAATATCGGAGCGCTGGCAACAAGAAGTAGCAGAAACAGTTTATGATGCAGTGAATGCAGACACAGATAAAATCGAGGCCAGAAAAAGGGCTAAAAATAAGCAGCTTGGCCATGAGGAAGGTAATTATCAAATACGTTGTGGTTTTTGTTTGTGTTTTTTGATCTTCTATTACTGGATAATAATTCATGTATTTGAAGTTCCAAACAATAGGCTCTCATATTGCTTTCATTCATCAGGAATAGAATTCATTTAGTTTGTGTCGTGTTTCTTAATATTTGGAAACATTGTATGATGATATAACATTTTGGAAAATCTTCAGCACAATCTTTAAGGATGACTGTGTGCAGCCTTTCATTGCTCGTGCTTATTGTGTATGCGCAGAACCCTGAGGATTTGATTTCATGGTAAAGAGGACTGGAAAACTGTGTAGAAAACTTGACTTGTTTGCAAAGGCAGCTGCAGGGCAGATTGTTCTTTGCGTAGCACTGTGCAATGCTGTTAACAGTAAATCAGGTATTATTTTGCTTTGCTTTCAAGGAAGCAAGGTCTGTGCTGCCCCGAGCAGCGGAGGCAGGGCTGGCTCCGCGTGCCCGTGCCCGTGGGAGCGCAGTGGCCACCCCGTGCTCGCACGCGTGGTCCTGTGCCACGCTCTGCAAACTGATGTTTCCTGTCGCCACAGATTACGCGCTGGGCAAGGACTGCATCATGCACGGGTACATGCTGAAATTGGGCAATCCCTTCCTGACCCAGTGGCAGCGGCGTTACTTTTACCTCTTCCCCAACCGGCTGGAGTGGCGAGGAGAAGGGGAGTCGCGGGTGAGTGCGGCCGGGCGCCCTGGGGACAGCAGGGCCGGGCAGGAGGGACACGCGGGCGCTGAGGCCAACCCGAGCTCCTGGCTCGAGCGTCCCCCCATGCAAGCAGAACCTGCCCTTGATAAAAGACCAATGGACTCGAGTGTCTCCTCAAGGTAACCTCTCCCTGGGAAACCACGCCGCTCTGAAGAAGCGTGAAGTTGCCTTGAAAAATCTGTTTTTTGTTTGTATTTTCAAAGGAATTTGGTAGTTCATGGTGTTATTTTTCATTTAGGACTTCTGGACTATTTATACAAAAAAACATAAGCTGGTAAGGTAATGAATGCTATAGCATTTTCTTTGAAATAAAATGCTATAGCAGCTTTAGTTTAGTTCAGCTGTGATCATGTAGTCCAGATGAATCATTTGTATAGTTATGTAAAGTTTGGGGATTTTCAGAACGTTCTTCTCATTTTTGTAAATATATAGACCTCAACTATTCCCTTTCAGGCCTTTGATACAGATAGAAAGATTGCCCTTTTTTTCTTTCCAGTAAATACCTGGAAATGCAAAAAATATATGCAACTCTTGTAGGAAAATAGCGTGTATTTTGTTTGTAGACACACCTATTTGTAGATTCCTATTTCATATTATCATTGTTGTCTCTTTCGGCTTTTATTTCACTGTCTCTGTTTAACCAACCAAGCCCCTTGCTAAATCTCTCTCTTACCTTATAATCTATTTTTAGTTCATGAGTCAGTCTTCAGAAATACAGAAATGTTTGTGTGATGACCGTCGTGCTCATAACTTCATTCATATGCCTAGTCCAAAAAATATTAGCTATTGGCTTTATTTGATGAAGAACATTTTTTTTGCCAAATTATCTCTTATTGTTTGTTTCTCTGCTAATACTCTAGCAAAATCTACTGACAATGGAGCAAATAGTATCCGTTGAAGAAACGCAAATTAAAGATAAGAAATGCATCTTACTGAGAATTAAAGGAGGAAAACAGTTTGTCCTGCAGTGTGAGGTGAGACACTTGTTTTTAGTAGCTGTGGATCAGATGTTTTGCATGTGAGTTCTTGGCCTCACGTTACATATTGGCTATGCAGCAAACCTAAGACTAAGCAAAACTAGGGAAGTTCTTCCTGTACTTTATTTTGAAAGGAGAAAATCTGCAGCTATATCAGTTTGTCATCACTGAAAGTACAGATTTCAGTGTGACTTGTACCAAAATCAATTTTGTTTTTTGCAGCTTTTAGCTTTGTATTACATCTCACTGGGCAGGCTTCTAAGGCCTTGGTGACACAGGTGATTAATTGCAGTTAGTTTACGGCAGCTAATGTGCTTGTGGGGGATAAAAGAGGCAAGTGTTGAAACATTTTGACCAACTTTAGTTCTCTTGACTTGCCTCCTTTGGGCTGAGTGATAGAAGCAAATGGCTACGTATTTTCAATATCCCAAGGTACTTGTTTATGCAGAAATTGAAAATAAGTTGCTAAAAGTGCATAAAGAGAGGACGATATTGGCAGTTTATTACGAAGTGCCAGACTACTTCTTTATCTCCCTCAGAGCGACCCAGAGTTTGTTCAGTGGAAAAAGGAGCTGACAGAAGCGTTTACTGAGGCGCAGAGGTTGCTGCGTCGCGCTCCCAAGTTCCTCAACAAGTCCCGCTCGGCGGTGGTGGAGCTCTCCAAGCCGCCCCTCAGCCACAGGAACAGCAACGGGCTGTAGCAGCCGGGGAGAACCACGTTGGCGTGGGGAGAGCTACGCGTCGCGCTTCACAGCATCCTCGTTAACGAATTACTTTGTGCAGTCCTGGAGGCAGGATGTCCTTAGGAGAAGACGAATTAGATGTTTACAGCATGGAGGTCAGAACTGGGTCCCTGGCGCCGCGCGGGCGGGAACGCTGGCACGTGAGTTGCGGCGCGGCGGTGGCGGGAGCTCCCGCGCGCACCAGTGGAAGAAAAATACTGTTTTCTCTGCAATACCTTTGTTTGGCTTATGCCAAGCCTGGAAACCGAAGTGGGTACTGCTGGTTAGGATTCACCCTTCCGTGTCTGGTATCGACAAGCCCCTCGACTCTGGAAGGAGCTGCAGACTTGCCGTGCTGGAGGACGTTTGATCTGTCGTGTTGCCATGTTCTTTCCGACCGTTACTGCTGACTTTACTATAACCTTTCTCCATACTGCTGATCATCAACAGTGTGACTCTGATGCACTTCGACGTACTGAATTCTAACTGTCCTGTGGTTTAAATGTTATTGCTACTTCATGGAAACATTGAAGTCCAATTATTCACTTGGTTTGTTGTACTCACTAATAGTAGCTACCACCGTTTTGCTTCTTCTACGTATATGCAGTACTATAACTGACACGATAGAGTAATAATTGGTGAAGAGGAATTTGTGGTAGCTTCATCTAGTGCTCTGTTGTATACATTGACTATTTTAGCACAGTTTTTAAAGAGCAGATTCCTTTTGACAAGTTTACAGTGAATATAAAGACAGTTCTTTTCCATTTCAGGTCAACTGCACTTTTTAAAAATTATAAAGGAGTTATTCAAATTCAATGCATTCTAGTGCATGTACTGGGTTCAAATGTGTGGCTACCTTGGTACGTGTTCCGGATCACTCTGCAGTTACGGGACTTGTGGATCCTTCTCTGTTTTTTACCAAACCGTAAGCAAATGTGTTCTCTAGAAGAAATCTCCCCGACTCTCCTGGTAGCCGGGCTCAGAAGAGCCGTGTGTACCCCATAGGGCTCAGCTTGCAGCATTTCCAGTTTCTAGAGAATTCAGAACGTCCACGTTGAAAAAAGTTGGAGAAAACTGAGCCTGGAGCTGACAGAACGAGTTGATGCCAGAGCTATATTAATTTTACTTAAGCCATCAGTCATGTCATGTGGAAACTGTTATTTTGCAAAAGCAGAGATATAATCTCTAATTGTCAGACAGCTTTTAAGCATATGAAGTCAGCTTTTCCCTGTTTTTTTTATTATTATTTTCCTTACGGCAGAGAAGGCAGGGCTGAATGGACGCGTTCTCCTGGTTCCGTGACCCCCGGGGAAGGTTTTCCGCCCAGGAGCAGCAGGTTTGCCGAGCGCCCGCGCGGTTTCCCCTTGGCGCAGCCGGGTTGTGCTGCTCGCAGGGCGTCCAGACCCATCCCCAAATACAAAGGGGCAGAGTTGTGTGGTTCGTTTCGGAGGTGTTTCCTTCTCCTGAACACAGCTGTGATGGAAGCAGCTGTGTTTGCTTCTGGACGCGGGATGGGCCGAGCTCTTTGCATAGCCCGTGCTTTGACAACTGTGCAAATTCTCTTGCTGTAATCTGGCGTAGCAAAGAAGGAAAAATACATTTTTAGAAAATACCTCATGTCCATCAGATAATATTTTTAATGATATTCCCCGTTTATTTTTTTAATTAATTTATAAAAAGAGTACCAAGCTAGGAATCCTCCTCACTGGTAAGTGATGTTTAGTGTCTAAGCATCCTCCATAAGGAGTGGTCGTGGTATTTACTGAAGTTTGGAACAGAAAACGTCTCTTTTTGTTGGCACTGACTGTCTACTGGGTATTCTGAACATTTTTTTTCTACAGTACCACGCAATACTCTTTTCATGCTGATTTGAAGACTCCAATTATGATAAAACCTACTCTTTATTTCTCACGTAACTTATTTTGCTGGTGTTTTTGGAGTTTGCTATCTTCTCCGTATTTCTGTTAATTATTTGGCATAGCTCCTGTTGATGGTAAAAGGCTTCGGGAGCAGCTGCTGGTCCCTGACGTGACGCCCCGTGGCTCTGGAATGGAGCTGTCTGCGGTCGAGCGCAGGTCTGAGCC